CGACAGGTCAGGAAATTCCATTTAAATAAAATTGTCCATTTGCAAACTAAAGGCATTTTAAGATTGAACTCGTATACCTCACCGTGTAAAATTTTGAAACCATCATCACTTTCATAGTTCATCTATTCTCCACGAGTGCCAACTTTGATTTGCCAATAGACAAACATAGCTTCAAGTCATGGAGAATTGCAACGTATGCAACAAAACGTTAAGCTCAAGCAAATTGATAGTTTGCAGTGGATCATGTAACCGGCGATACCATCCAAGCTGTGTAGGAGTGAACAGAAGTCATCTTGCGTCATGGTCTGCTCAAGTGGGACTCCTATGGTTCTGTCAGGCTTGTCGACTGAACTTAGAGCCTGCTGTTTATGACCGTGACAAGATCATCATGAAGGCATTACGTGAGCTTCTCATCAGGATGGATCCGATGGACACAAGACTGTGAAACTATGGAGAGAATCTTCGAACCATTAACGGAATTCTTTTTGACCAGAAGAAAAGAGCATCCAACCTTTCGTTGGATCAAGCCGCCTTTCACAGGACAATCGATCAACTCACACTTGATGATTCGGTTGATCCTCTCGATCGTTCCAGATCATGCGATGATACCTCTTTCTTCGAGGTTCTCGATGATATTAACAGTACCATTCATCAACCAGCTGACAATTTCATCGTTGATAACAAACGTGTGCAAATCGTATGTGGAAATTCCAAAAGCACCTCGTCTCAACAATCAAATCTGAAGTCCACCGACACCGGTGCCACTGCTAACGATACTGCTGAATCGAAACCAGTTACATCTGCTAATCCTCCCAATCAAACAACAAACCTGATGAACTCCACTTCAATTACACCTCAGCAACAAACCACTGGGCAACCTGGACCATTATCCGTATCAACCGGTTTCAATTCACTCAAGGTTGCTCGAAAAGAGCCTCAGCTGAAAATTGACGAACACCAAGATGCATACTACGTGACACCTTTCGCACCAGATCAAACCGAAGTAGCTATTCGGGATCGCATCTGTGATATTACCAACGTCGACCCCTCCATGGTGAAAGTAGTAAAGCTAATTCCCAGGGGTAAGGATCAGCGTGACCTAACATTTGTGTCCTTCAAAGCCACTGTACCAAGGAACGCTCAAACCGTCGTTGAGGATACATGGTACTGGCCAGAAGGGGTCGAAATCCGAAACTTCGAATCTCGTGAAAAAAACTACTCGAGCTCGCGATCATCAGGAAACACTTGATTGACAAGCAACGTGTTATCGCTGCACACACCTGTACCAATACTTACAAGCTGCTCACATCGGACTGCCTGTCACCTTATGGAACCCCCTGAGCCTATCGACCCAGTCGCGCTTGCTGGTTCCTGTCATCTTAGCCGTTCTGGACCTGCGGTCGAAAATGGTGATGGAGGCTTCCAACCTCCTTTTTCAGGCAAGTATTTGTTCGATAGAATCATTCCATTGCCTGATGACTTTTCGTGTTCCAGCACAGCATTTCGCCTCTCCGATTTCATCAAAGCTTATCCTCACACGAATAAACTCTCCAAACCAGAATGCACGGCCTGTTGCCTAATGGAAGCCCCTGATCCACTCGACTCAGTCGCGCTTGCTGGTTGCTGCCATCGTACACACTTAGATTTTTTTGCCGAGATGGGCACCACCGAGCAGCTCGGCATTTTATTTTGCTGGAAATTCAGCAAAAAATATGTTTGTTAGCTGAGATCTCGGCAAAATTCCCGTTTGTTAGCTGAATCTCGGCAAGTTTTTCACTGAGATCCAGTAAAATAAAATGCCGAGCTGTTCGGTGGTGCCCATCTCGGCGAAAAAATCTAAGTGTGTAGACGTTCTGGCCCTGCAGTTGAGCTTGGTGACGGGGTCTTCCAACCTTCCACTTCAGAAGGATTGCAAGAACACTGCATCTTGCCTTCGCCTGACGATATTGGATGCAGACACGGCGAACCTAGTGAATGTTCTACTCCATGCATCGATGACATCTCTAATGGCCTATCACCGATACCAGAACGCACTGCCTATTGCGATATGGAAGCCCCTAGCCCTCTTGACCCAGTCGTGCTTGCTGGTTCCAGTCGCCTCAGTCGTTCTGGCCCTGTGGTTGAGAGTGGTGACGGGGTCTTCCAACCTCCTGACACTGGCAAGTATGCGTTTAATAGAACTGTTCCATTGCCTGATGTGCCTGCATGTTCCAGCTCAGCAACTCGCCACTCTGATGATCTCCACCAAAACTTGCGAGTCTACTACCAGAACGTGCGTGGACTAAGGACAAAAATTGACGACTTCTACCTGGCTGTTGGCGAAAAAGAATACGATGTCATTGTTTTGACGGAAACGTGGTTTGACGAGTGCATCTTTTCATCGCAGCTATTCGGAATAATTTTTCTGTCTTTAGAACTGACCGCCAACCACTCAACAGTAAAAAAAAAATCGAGAAGGTGGAGTTCTCATAGCTGTTTCTACACATCTTAGTAGCTGTTTAGATTCATCAACCATTTGCAAATCACTAGAGCAAATTTGGGTGAGAATTGATATGAATGGTTGCATCATCAGCGTCGGAGTTATTTATATTCCACCCGATCGGAAGGGAGCAACCTGGGACCACTGTTGTTCTCCTTGTTTATCAACGATGTGTCACTGATTCTGCCACCGGGAGTGCGACTTTTCTATGCTGATGATGCTAAAGTCTACGTCATTGTAAACAGCTTTGAAGACTGTCTCGAACTGCAGAATGTCTTGAATTCCTTCGAAAACTGGTGCACAAGGAACTGTATGACTCTCAGCATCGAGAAATGTCAGGTAATCACGTTCAGCAGAAAGTTCAAGCCAATCGTATATCCATATTCGTTATACGGGCAACCTCTAGCGCGGGTACAACATATTCGAGACTTGGGAGTTAGTCTCGATCAAGAACTCACTTTCCGGTTCCACTATGATGACATCATCTCTAGAGCAAACAGGCAGCTTGGATTCATTATGAAAATTGCTAGTGGATTTCGTGATGTTTCCTGTTTGAGGTCATTGTACTGTGCTCTAGTACGGTCAATTCTGGAATTTGGAGCAATCGTTTGGTGTCCTTATCACGATAGTTGGATTACACGAATCGAATCTGAACAGAGGAAGTTTGTACGTTATGCTTTCAGGAACCTTCCATGGCGTCATCCTCAGCATCTGACACCATACCAGTATCGTTGTCAACTACTCGGAATAGAAACGCTGAAAAATAGACGTCAAGTTGCTCAAGTGATGTTCGTCGTTAAAATCCTCAGGAATGACATTGATTCACCATCCTTACTAGCAAGAATGAATATCTACGCCCCCGAACGTTTACTACGACGACGAAATTTCCTACAGTTTGAACCCCGCAATACCCTATATGGACAGCATGATCCGGTTAGATTTATGTCAGCTACCTTTGATGAAGTTTTTCATTTATTCGACTTCAACGTACCGGTGTCCACGCTGCAACGACGGTTTACTGACCATTTTCGTAATACTTGACTAAATTTGTGTAATTTTATTTATGTATATTTGTATGAACCCTACATTATGGTATTCATTAAGACAAAAAAGTGTCAGATGAATTATATCAAATAATAATAATAATAATAATAGTTTTTGAGACATGACCAGATGAGTGAGTGGTAGTTTTGTGGAAAATCAATGCTATTTTTTTTTCTTGAATTTCCTCACGCCGATGGCACAATAATAGTTTTATGTTATTTTTCACATGTTCTGGGCTCGATTTTCATTACATAAAATCATAACTACCTCATTTATTTACTTCTGTCCATAATATAATTGTGGTCATAAAAGTGAAAAATACGTTCCTATGGGATACAGCCAAAATGGCCGATTTTTTGCAAAAACATGCTTGATTGTTCATTGCAAACAATTATGCAAAGTTTCATGTTAATCGGAAAAGTTCAAGTCATAAATTATTCCTTTTTGTTATTTGTCCTGGAACTGCTCTTCTAATGTGCCTGCCTTATGCTACCACACCATTAACCACCCGCGCACAATACACATGTTTCCAGTTTTCGGCTTTCATCTGATTGATTAATCAATTAAATCCTTTTGAAGCACCCGACAGACAGCCATCCACTCAGAAAAAGGCAATCGTCCTTTCGGACGCTCCGCAGGGGGAGGTCTTGTTAGCTTCATCGGAATGATTTCCCAAATACCAACCAGCTAATGTGCATGTTTTTTTTCCACCCCAAAACGAAGGAAGATGAGAAACGAGAAAAATCAGACTTGCTCCCCCTAATTTTTTGCTGCCGTTCCGACCATGTGGAGCTTCATTCGCTTGACAAAGGATGAGCCAATATTGAAAATCATCTTAATCAGATTGTTAAATGCTGTTCGGTTGATTAAAAGTCGGACATCTTCTTCAAGGTCCTTCCAGCCGTCACCGCACTGGGGTTTGAATTCAGCACCAATCCCGATGGGAGGGAGAAGGCGTGAGGGTGGAATCTCAAGCGTAAAATGTTCGATTTTCCAGTCGTTTCTCATTTTTTTTTTTCGTGCGGAGTCTCTGGAGGGGGAAAATTTAAGCTAAAGAATGAGTCGTTCACTTTTCTCGAGTGGGTCGGATCGTCTACTTTGTTATATTCTGATAAATTCAATCAACTTTGTTAAGGAAGCGGAATTCTGACAAACTTGAATGCGGAGCATGTCCCATTATTGTTCGGATAGGAGGATAGGGTGGATGGGGTCAGAAGGTCTCGAGCGAATGGTGATCCTTTCTGACTTTTATTTTCCCGGGCTTTCTATGGCCTGTTCCCGGTCTAACGGGGAACGATAAATCAATTTTGGGACATCTGTTGATTAAATTGGGTTTGGTCGTTTACTTTTCCCGAGTAGGCTATTGTGCAAATTTTGGGAATCATTTCAACCGGGGGGATCTTGATTTTCCTGTAGCGATTGCCCTTAGCCTACGACAGTTTTTTAACAATTAAATTCTTATTTTTTTTTATTTCAGTCACACTGACCGGTTCGGCTGCTAGTAGCTGCATTACATCGACCACATTGCTGCTGGTCTGTCTCTCCACAGTGTTGGTGTCCCTGATGACAAGATATCGATTAGCAGTGGCGTCCTTCTCTTCCATGGAAGCATCGTTGTCGTCGTCGTCGTCATCAGCACCATCGCCGCCGGTGCAACGGAGATAGTCAGCTTAAGTGCTCCTTCCTGAGCAAGGACGGGCAGAACAACCGAGCAATGGCAGCCAAAGTTCTACAGATAAAATAACCGTAAACGATAATTGAAAAATTCCCATTTCTCCCCCGCAAGCGAAAAGAAAAAAGATACATCATCACCATCCCAGAACCCAGATTCAATTCCCCTCAGAGTTCGATGCTTGATCGGGGTTTTCATTGGAACTGCAGAAAAGAGCATTCGTAAAACTGGTCAACTGGTTACAGTAGGGCAATCGAGCTAGCAAAGACTCCAGGGTTGAATGATGAAGGAAAACGTCGTCGAGACTAACCGGGGAGTCTGTGTAATAATAAATTTATGTATGTTTGAGGGCACTCCATTTCTAATTTCGACACTGTTTACACTGGTGAGCAAAATAGGAAAAGGGAATTGTTTAAAATAATGAGACTTTTGAAGGTGCATTAATCATTGAAATGCAAACCATGGAGCATCTTCAATTAATTAATTAATTTATCTTTATTAGGGAGGCTTTCAGCCTGGGGCTGGTTCGCCTCGGAGGAGCATCTTCAGAATTATATAATAATTATTTACTAATTGAGACGTCAGTTGTTGATGGAGCTTGTCAAAATTTTTGGCGTTGCAGTACAGTAAAACGGGGTAAAATTGAGTTTTTAGTTGTGACGTAGAAAATGTTCGATGAAAGATATCAAGAGAAATCTTGATCGGAGATTGCTTCGACAAGTTTCTGATAGCAGATTTTACTTACTGCATAAATTCCAATTTTATTTAATATCAGCATTCGAAAAATTGATATAAGGTTGCAACTAAGTGTCATGAATTTTAATTATTTTAAAACTACGGTAAAATGTTTTCAAATAAGGGGGTTAGAAGTAAAGGGGTGTGACTTTGATCGATTCTCTTTATCGACTTTCTGTTTTGATAGCCACAGCTTTATAAACAGATCTACCACATAGTTAGATAAAGGAGGTTCTCATCTAGCCTCCAGAATGGCACACGAATCAAGGAATGTGTTTGCAGCTGAATTATTAACGAAAGAGAAATTTGATGAAGAGAATCGGTCAAAGCCACTTACACCTCTTTCCTTCTAACCCCCTCAATTTCGAGAAATCAAAGGTTTACTGTGAAATAAACAGTGATTTAAAACATGCCTACATTTAGGCGCAACTTGCATTTTAAGTAATATTGTTTGAAATTTCTGCTGAAAATACATTTCGCACAGGTACTTTAGGGGTCATGCAATAATTACGAAAGAATTGATTTGGGATTTCAAAACCCTCCCACAGTAGTTTTTTTTTCTTTTTTTTTACTATTTATTTGTTCCAAATTCAAGTTCCCTAAGTCAAAATTTTCAAATTTCCGTTAGTATTATATTTAGCTACACAGTTCGAAAAAGTAGTTAAAATTTCTGTTCAATATGATGCACATAAATGGAGCGTCACATATGATATACGTTTACATTATATATTATGTAAAGTTCTGACACATTTAATGCAATGTAGCAAATATTTTATACAAAAGCCCATCTTTGTAAACAAAATTGTTTGCAAGTTGCTCGGTTGCGTGAAATGAAAAACAAGTCTATACGTGAATGAATGTTTACATCACAATTAAAATTCAGAATTTTTATCTGTGCAATATTTTGATTCCTTCCAGCTGCAATAGTAGCATAGGTAGCTCTATTTACTTGCTGAAAATTGTTAGCAGCGAGGGGTGCAGGTATAGATGAAGAATTTTAAGCAGGGGTTAAATAGGATTTGTGGTTTTCCCCTCAATTTGAACATTTAATTTTTTTAGGATCTTCCTTTACAGGACAGCCGTCCTTTGCGTGATAGAAATCACCAAAATTCATGCATTTTGCTGGCATGTAGCAATGTTTGGTTCCGTGACCCCATCCCTGGCACTTACGGCACTGAGTAAGGTTTTGGCAATTTCCTCCAATCTTCCTGAAGTGTTCCCACTTCACTCGGACAGGGAGCTTAATGCTAGCTTTTTCTAAGGCCTAAAGGTTGTTTAGTTTACTAGACTTGAAGTGAACTACATAAAAATCATTAGAAATCCCGTTGCGCGAGTCTTCAGGACGGGATTTCATTTTCATTTTGATTACTTGGAGTGGCACAACTCCAAGTAATTTTGCCAGTTCATCTTTGATCTGATCCAGGGATTCACCACTGGGTAGACCTTACAAGACAACCTTGAACATTTATTCAGTTGTGGTGTCGTAATAAAAACATGTGTGTTGCTTCTCAGTATGATATTTGAGAAGACGTTTGAATCCGTCCGATGTCTCAGCTAATACACGGCATTCACCCCGAAGGTCAATTTGAAGTGAAAACTTAAATTGAACGAAGTTTAAAAGTTCCTTGCGAAGAGCATGGAAATCGGTAGTGGTTACAACATTAGGGGGAACCTTTTCCTTGTTGGCATTAAACCGGGAATGTTTAATGGCATTGTGCCTGGATGTTGCATTATTATCATCATCCGTAAGCATAACAAATTGATTGCTCAATTGAATTTCATCTGAAGGGGGATCAAGCGATTGTCCTTTTCTTTTGCGCTTGGGCGCCATGGCGGCAGAACAAAGTTTCTCCAAATCGTTTTCCAAGCAGATTACTATAAGAAACCGAAGGATCGAAGAGGAATTTTTCAAATTGGTATCCAAGCAGGATTACGTCGGGTAGGGTCCACAAAGGATCCAAAAGGAATAATAATCTGAGAAGTGCCGTTTAAATTTGTTGTAGCTTTAGGAAGCAGTAACATTTCCTTCAGCAAACAGCAAATTGATCCGCACGGCAAGAGAGCACGATGCGGAATGATTGTTGACAGGTGATCATTCGAGCAAACTTAGACGCATCACAGACTCAGACAAATGGAAGCACTTTAACTAAAATGCTATGTTATAAGTAAGACCTATTCATATTTGGAATAGCCACACAATTAACTACTCTGAAAATCTTCAGCAAGATTTTTGAGGATTATATGGTGCTTCTTGAATATGAGTAAAATCGAAAGATATTTCACTCAGTCTGCTAGTCTACTAACCACTTGACTAAGGCCGAGGCCGATAACAATTCCTGTTTTAGTTAAATTATTCAAGTCTAGTTTCTTATTGGTTATTAATAAACCATTATGTAAAACACAATTTGCTTACCAGTCAGGCAAGTCAACAATAACAGCTCTTCATACTCTTATTACTTAAATACAAAAATCCTTTGCAGCTAAAGAAATTTTTGAAAATAACAGCTGTAGAAGGCTGTCCTCAAGGGGGTGTTCTTTCTCCCCTTCTGTGGTCTCTAGTTGTTGATGACCTTCTTTTAAAATTCAAGCATCAAGGATTTGAAATACAGTCAAGATTCCTATAGTGCGGATTCGTTCTTGCCGGGTTCCTATAGTACTGATGTAACTGGATTCCTATAGTACCTAACGAATACACGTAGCATATGTGATTTGAGCTAATTGGGACCAACCACTGATTGTACGGCAATTTGAAGAGATAACTTCCAGATGTCTTTGGAAAAGTTGTTAAGCAGATAGTTGACCACCTTTTGGGATGAATCAGTGTGGCCAATTCATAAAACTGATCCTAGAGCTCCGCGGTTTTTTTTTTCGAAACCACTCATAGACGTCTTATCACAATAAATTCGGAGTTATGACCAGCAAATGGACGCTGGGGACTACGGTATAGTCCACTTATAAATCTGGGACATCCGTAAAAGTGGTCTATTCATGAAACTGATACTAGTGCTCCGCGGTTTTTTCGAAACCACTCAAAAATTTATATGAATAATAACTCAATTAGAAGATATTTTTAAATGGCTTATTGATTAAATTTTGCGATGAATTAAAACTATAAACAATCAAGATAGTCCCTCGTTAACTTGTAACTCGGAATAAAGATATCCAAGAAGTCAAGGAGAAGAAGAAGTTCAAGAAATTCAAGGAATAATATTGAAAAATTCCGTTAAAAGCGGCTAGAAGTTATTAAATACTTAAATAACACCTAGAAATCATCCATGATAATAATTAGAAAAGCATGTCTATGAGCAGCTCTAAAAAAAAAACACAGAGGGCTGAGATCAGTTTTCTAAAACTATCCACTTTAACGAATGTTGCGGATATTCCGGAGGACCATCCAAAGGACCTCCCTTAGCTCAGTCGGTAAAGGCGCAGCTACAAAGCAAGACCATGCTGGAGGTGATTGGGTTCGATTCTATTTTCGATTCCAGGGTCTATTTTCCGATCATAACTCTAAATGCATTATTATAAAACGTCTATGAATTGGCCACTTTTACAGATGTTTCGGATCTTTTGGAGAACCATCCACTGCACAATGATCCCAAAGCCGTATTTAGGAAGACAAAAATGTTTGCGCCCAATTCGTCAGTTGTTGAGAACTACTACGGCATAATCGCCCATTTTAGGCGAGCAGAAAACTTCAAATAAATCCATGATTTCAGAGTTAACAAGTCAATTATGCGTTTGGAATGATACTATAGTTAATAAGCTTCCGAACGAAGTCACATCTGTACCGTAAAATATGTACGGATAGGTAAATAAATTTGGAAGCCATCAGTAATAATAACGTTTGGTGCTAAACTTTGCTAGATTAAGAAAAACTAAGTGCGGGTTGTGCTTAATAGACCGGAAATGGGGTAGTTAACCCTATATATCAGGAAAGTTTCTTAATTTTTTTGGTCGATCTTTTAATGATAGTGAAATTAGGGTGGTCCATAAAATTGGTGCATTAAAAAACACAAACTTTTTTATTATTTGAGATAGACCAATGCATTGTTCTGAAAAATTGTAGAACTATCAATTCGAGGCTAATTTTAACTAATTTTTGACATCAAATTTCTAACTCTTATGGCTCATTTTAAACAAGCAGGTTAGGGTGGCCCCTAGCAAAACAGATTTCTTTGAATATCTTTTCATACGTTAATTTCCTGTAAAACCGTTGTTTTGGACACATTTAGAATTTTTAATGACGCATATTTTTGCTAAAGCAACCAGGTTGCTATATTTTTTTTGATAAGAAAGTTAATGGAAATTTTCTTCGAAAAAAAATGTTCTTTTCAACTGTCAATATCTCTAATCGGAGCTAACCGATTTTCAAACTTTTGATTCCATTTAAAAGATCGTGTTTTTCTTCATTTTAAGGGAAAAACTGTAAGAGCGTTTATTGTTTAAAGTGTTTTATTTTATTTAAAAAAAAAGTCATATTTTTCAGCAAATACTAGCCACAACTTTTCAAATTAAGGAGATAACAACTAAGTTGCACCAACAAAAATATTCGTCATCAAAAGATCTATTAGTATTTAGAACGAAGTTTTTACGAGAAACGGACTATAACGTGGAAAATTCGATAAAGTTGTTTTCGCATTAAAATTCATACTATAGTGGGGCAAAAATGATGGACCCTACAAAAACAACTAT